TATCAATATCACAACATAAGACAGTACAACCTTAAAAACCCCACAGTCCTAAAAAAATCCAAACACTTAAAAGTCCATAGTCTCTTTTAAAATTCTCAACTATGGGTGGGCTTCTGCAAAATCCAAAAACAAGTACTGTCTTATTTCAAAGGGAAGAATCAGGCACACCTAAGCAAAACCAAAGTCCAGCAAATTAGCTCAAGGCTGGACATCTGTGATTCACTCACGATCTTCTGGCTCCAAAGGGTATTGGCAGCTCCACTGCTCTGACTCTGCAGTCCACAGCACACTCAGCTTGTCTCACAGACCCAGGCCAGCTCCATTCCACACCTGCCACTGTCCTTGGTGGTCGTCCCATGGTCCCAGCATTTCCAAAACGCTGGGGTCGCCACTGAAACTGAGGCTACACCTTCACTAATGGCCTCTTCTTGCCTCTTGGGGTGCAAAGCCTCAGTTTCTCTCCATGACCCCTTCAATCCTGGGGTCTTAACTGCAACTGAAGCTGCACTTTCACCTATGGCCTTTCGTCTCAGAGTGCCAAGCTTCAGCTGCTCTCTATGACCCCTTCACGCTTTCAACACCAGAACCATGCAGGAGACTCTTACACATTACCAAGCCCTGCTTCCAGCTTGAAATAGAGGTGCAGGTCCCCTCTGTGTGCTGACCCTGAGGAAACACCTCCCAGAAGACTCCACCACAGTGATTCTGGTCTCTTGTTACTTACAGCTGATTTTTCAGCCCCAGCTAACCAGCATCAATTGTCCCAGTGAAGCAAAGGTTTCACTTCAGGTTCTGGTCTCTTAATCACAGCTGGTTCTTCAGCCCCAGTTGACCAGAACCCACAGATTCTCAATCTAAGATCTGATACGAACAGCCCTGATGGTCTCCGCTTCCCTTTGAAGCTTCACAAGCCAGGCCTCCATCATCTACAACTCTTTCAGCATAACTGTTCCAAGCTCCACTGCAACAAACTCTGAGCACGCAATGGCTTTTCCAGCTCAAAGTTCCAAACACTTCCACAGTCCTTCCAAAAACACCAAGGTCAGGTCTGTCACAGCAATATCCCACTCTCTGCTACCAATCTCTGTCCTAGTTTGTTTCTTCATTGCTGTGACAAAACACTCTGACCAGTACCAACTTGGGGAAGAAAGGGTTTGTCTGTCTTACATCTCCCAGGTCGCAGTTCATCAGGGAGCCCAAAGTAGGAACTCAGGGCAGGAACATGGAGGCAGGAGCTGGAGCACAGGCCATGGAGAAATGCTGCTTACTGGCTTGCTCCCTTGGCCCCTGCTCAGCCTGCTTTCTTATGCAACACAGGCCCACCTGCCCAGGGGTGGCACCACCCACAGTGGGCTGGGCCCTCCCACATCACGCATCAAGAAGATGCCCTTCAGACATGGCCACAGGCCAGTCCAATAGAGGCAATTCCCCGATTGAGGCTCCCTCAACCCAGGTGTGTCAAGTTGACACTAAAGCCATCCAGCACAGCAGGTTTAGCTTTCTTTGTGGTACCCGGGGCACAGCATACAGCACACCAGGACTCAAAAGCTGAATTGCAATCACTGTGAAGTTCAGTCTAAATGGTGGACTTGCCAAACGTCCACAGGCTTGCTACTCCATGGGAGAAACTGGAGAGACTTGGGAAATAGCCTTCACCCTCCTGCCAGTATCTGTTTTAGTTCACTAAAGGCCTTCTCTAGGTTTGGATAAGCAAATGAACCTTCCGTAAGGGTGTAACCTTCTTCCTTGGTCCTGAGGAATACTTTAGTGTAAGAGGGCAGAGGTTGAATACATAGTCCCTGTTACTGTGTCAGAAGAAGGCAGTGAGGGAGACAGATGTGTCCTGTTCTGTAGAGGCCTGTTTAGAAATACACTCACTGTGTAAACGCAAGGGATGTAATGCTGTCAGGAACCACAGAATGAGAGGATAAGGGATAGGAAAGATAAAGAGACAATAGGACAAGGCAGAGAGAGGGAAGAGCCCTCCAAGCCCTTGTTCTGTGCTATGTATTTTTTGGCAGCAGCTTCCAAAGCTCATGGCTTTTCCTGACACACACAAAACACTGCAGGGTTCTCTGTTACCGGAGTTATTTTCCCAGCACTTGTGTGACCTTTCAGTGCAGGGAATGAAGGGAAGAAGTATCTGGGCTTGTAGTTCTTAGTACTAAATGACTTCCTAATTTAACTTGTTCATTTGGAAACAGCTTTTCTCACTTGCGTCTCTCTCCAACATGCTTGGGAACTCACCTATTCAATTTGTACTGATTGTGGAACTCTCTTTCCTGCGCTGCAGTGTATTCATTTTGATACTTGAGCAGCTGCTCCCGCATTTTGGAGACCTCTGTGGTGAAGACACCAGGAAAGTCATCTGCTTGTTGCAGGTGGATCAGCTGCTGCTGGATCTGTTCCGTGAAGTGCTTGGCATTCTGCAGCAGCTGTACTTCTGACTCTTGTGTGCTGGGTTACAGGGAAACAGATTTACAGAGTGATGGGAGTGCACACCCTCAGGACCCTTTGCAATTCCTGTGGGGAACAGGGGAGGTGGGACGGGAGCATGCCACAGCTGTTCCCCATTCCTACATTCAGTTTACTTGTCACACTAGGGGCCGAATCTGTCCTCAGTGCTGACGTGAGTGAGGCTCAGCTCCTGGCCTGGAGTTGCTGACCATGTGGGGTGGGGTACACAGATAGCTGCAATGCCTGATGACAAGTACCACAGTGGCTAGATCCAGAGTGGGCACAACGGACAAAGGATGAGCTTCCATGGGAGCAGGATTTTCCCTTGACTTTGAAGAATGACCAGGATCTCCAAAATGAGGAAAGTGGCTCCCTCAACTGGCCCTGCAACCCAGCTTTCTGGGTGCCTTCAATGCTCCAAACATGTGCAGCCAAGATCGTTTCCTCTTTTCTGAATCAAGAAAACAAAAACTCTTTAATGAGAAACTAGGAAAATTCTCCTATAAAATTATGAGTATTAATTAATTAATGAGGTTTTTTTCAATCCTAACCTGATCCTGGATAGAATTAGACTTGAACATCACAGAAAAGGGGATTTCTACAGCCCCAGCTTTCTTTCTTTCTTTCTTTCTTTCTTTCTTTCTTTCTTTCTTTCTTTCTTTCTTTCTTTCTTTCTTTCTTTCTTTCTTTCTTTCTTTCTTTCTTTCTTTCTTTCTTTCTTTCTTTCTTTCTTTCTTTATAGTTTTCTTTCTTTCTTTCTTTCTTTCTTTCTTTCTTTCTTTCTTTCTTTCTTTCTTTCTTTCTTTTCTTTTTGAGTTGGGATCTCCTTGTAACCCAGCAACTCACTATGTAGACCAGGCTCGAGATCAGCTTGCCTCTGCCTCCTGAGTGCAGGATTAAAGGCATACACCACCATGCCTGGCTTGCCCCAGTTATATTCTGTGGCCTTTTCCCTCTTTGGGAAAGGAGCTAAGCTTCTGCTTCAGGTAGATCTGGATTGACAGAGAAATTGTACTTGCTCTAACCCCCTGAATCTTCTAGAACTCACCTATGCTGCAAGCTAGCACATTAGCTACTTCTCATATTCAGAAGCAGGCCTCTGCTATTTCCTGTTTTAAAGCCAGTGCTCTTTCAGTGTTTGCACCCCATTAAAGTTTACTCAACAAGAGAGATCTCTAGGTTCCAGCTCTTTTGCAGAAATGTCCCATAACTTGATGGAACCAGTCTCAGATGAGGTGACCAGCTCCATCCATTTCTCCTGACTTTTCATTGTCATGTGCTCAGTGTCATTCAGCAAAATGTTTATTGGAACATGATATGTTCCAGGAACTATGGTAGGAGCCAAACAGCAACCACAGCAACTATGATGAAAATACCTTCAATTTCCTTTTATGAAAACAGGACTTATTCTCTCACGATCCAGTGTTATGGTATGTTGACACATTTTGTCAATCGGAAGTTATCTGGTCTTAATGTGTCATTTTTCCATTGTTGGAATTGGATCAGGCCATAGTGCTTGTTTTCCCACAGAGAAGACAAGGGCAGTACATAAGTTAGTGTTCCAGTCAGAACATAAATGGAAGTTTACATATATGTTCCTGAGATATAGTCAGTAGAAGAGAACTAAACTTCCAATGTAGTCTTTATGGAAAACTCAATCAGTGCCAGGTCAACACTTCCAGCCTGTGTCTGCCTGCTTGCAGCCTCAGCAGCACAAATAGAATCTACTTCAGGCCTTTGCTGTGGGTGTGGGACAGAGTGGTTGGTTTTGTCATGGCTAGAGAAGGAACTAAGGGGTCAAGAAGTGGTAGAATGTGGATAGCAGAAGGGAAGTAACTGTTTTGTAACACAACCCTGAAGCAGAAGAAATCATAGCATAGCCTTGGCCCTGCACTGATATTGTCACTGGATAGATAAGGGTTCCTCAGACAGCTTTGATGCCCAGTGTCTTATTGTACGTTCTGGGGAAAGCTGTTGACTTATTCTCTGGAAGCCTAGTCTTCACCTGCTGCTGACTTGCACTTGGCTAAGGCAAGTAGCATGGGATAGGAGGCAGAAGCGAGAAGTAAAGACAGAAGTCTTAGCAGATACAGGATGAGCTGTCACTGAATCTGTACTTTTGAGTGACAATGACAGATGGGGAGGGTTCCTGCAGGAGTGTCCTATAGCACATGCCTTCAGTGTTCCATCCAAAGCCTCTTGTCCAAAGTAGCTTCAGAAGGTAGTTACCATTTACACAACAGCACCAATGTCACTGCCTGAGAGCTGGGTCTGGCCCTAGAAGTGTGCTTGTCTTCTCAAAGGGCAAGCTAGATGTATCAGGAGCTAATTTCTCCAGCAGTAATCAATCCATCATGAGGGATAGAAACAAGTGGACAAATATCCCAACTTGGTCACTTCTTACTGACAGAGTTGAGATTGTTCTACACTGTCAGTCACAAAGTCCATGAGATGGTCACAACTACCCATAGCACGAATCACAGAGGAATGCACTCCAGCTGGATTCCTCCTTCCCAGTCTCACTTCCCCACTCACCCACGGTGCCTTCTCCAATCATTTCTCAAACCACTTGAGCACTAATTGATGCCCCAGAGTCTGTTTTTGGAAGGAACACAAATGAAGACAAGTCCCACTCATTATAAGTAAGAAATACAGACATGGTAAAGCTGTTGCCATGCTGATAAATGGCATACCTCACCACTGTGTCATGCAGCAAGGTGTACTTGGCTTTCAGCTCTGCCATTCGGGTTCCAGGAAGTTTTCCCATAGAATACAGCTAGCAAAGAAAACACATAGTCATCGTTGGCTGTCGTTATCCTTATGTCTAAGCAGCAGATAAAATGGACACATGTGTATCTTTTAAATCTTTCAGTAGAGCATTAGAAAGGTCATGCATGAAGTAATGGGGCCTTTTGATAGTTGCTGGGTATTCAGAGAATGTAGTTCTATTCTGCCTCTTCAAGCTCTTTGTTCTTGAACAAGTCTTTTAACCTTTCTAGGCTGTGATTTCTTCATCTAAAAACTCAAAGAATTGAGCTAAATCTCTTCCTGTTCTAAAAGCACATTTCCAGCTTAAGCAAACATTTTAAATAGTGTGGATTACTGGGATAGCTAGGTATAAATTGAGAGGAATAATAATCACTGTGCATCTTATGAGTGAGAGATGCACCTCACTGACTTCATGCTCAGAAATGCTTTGCAGGGCACGGATTATTTTGCCCATTTGAAACTAAAACTTAGCAGAGTAATTTGCCCAAGGTTTTAGTTAAAAATCCTGGGACATCATCAGGGTTTAAACCTTGATAGTCTAGTTCCAGTACTCAAGATCATTCCCCTTTCTTGATGCCTCTGAAGGACAAGTTTGCCCTCTGAATAATGAGGTATTTTTTTTTCCTTTTTCATTTCTGCTAGAAGGCATCTTTGAATGAATCTCTGAATAGAAGGATAATTACTTAAGAAACATCATAACACCAACTACTAAAGTTTTGCCTTATTAAAACCATAAAGCAATGATAATTTCATATTAGGATAAACTTAAAACTGCAGCAATATGGAACTACAAAGCAGAACTAAAGATTAGTGCTTTTCAGGGCCTCTTAGTCTCCCCTTTTGAATGTTTCTTGGATCTATTCACTTTTCTCTTTCATTATTCCACTAGGCTAAGCCACATGGTCTTTCCCTTGGCCAACTTTTCCCTGACTCTTTCTCCTCTCCCTCTTCTCCTGGTCCCACTTAGGGACCCCACCTGATTGCTTTCCACAATCTTTTCAAACGTTAAATGAAGTCTTGTTATGCTGGGTGCTCAAAACCTTCAAGTGGAATAAAATTCAAGATCTGTGGAATTCTAGACTGTGAGGGCCTGCATGACTCTGCTTCCCTCTCAGTTGCTTCTTTTAGCATCTTCTTAAGTGCCTAGGTTTCTGTCACCCTGGCTGTGTTTTATTTCAACAGCCTCACAGATCTCTTTCTTTCTGTTTCTGCCTTGGTCATTTTACTCCGTTTTCCCACTCTACTCCAACCCTATCTCATGCTTTGGCCTAAGTACCATTTTATGCAAAGGTCTGCTCTGACTTCCCAGTCCCCAATCCCCAGAACACTGTGCTTTATAAAATATGACACATTATAATCTGTGATAAACATGATTAAAATTTTGTTGCTTTCTTACCCAACAAGTATACATGTCCCAGGAAGCCGCCCCTGAATTGCCTTGCTCTTTATTTTATTCCTAGTCAGAGTAGGCTTCCAGGCACAGAGTTGGTACTCAGTGAATTGTTCATATTCATTAGCAAGTGAATGAAAGTCACAGGCAAAGCATGAGGCCAGGTACACACAGAAAGGTTTCATGGTCTATCTGAGTCATGATAGAAAATGTTAAACACACCCTGAAACATCTCTTTCTTTGGGAAAGTGTTGGATATCTTTCCTTGGAGGTCTGGCTTGAGTTCCAATCCCCACTGCCTTATTTTTTAACCTATGGGTAAAACATCTAGGTAAACAGTTTTTTTTAAGACCTCCCAGCACGTGTTACCTCTCACTATACTATTAAAATGTTAAATTGTATTCAAATACTACCTTAAGTAAATATAGCCTTTGATTTTTACTTGTCAAATAATGAAGTCCCAGAGCAGTGTCAAAAATAATAGATATCCCAAGAGCTAGAGGAGGCGGCCGAGAGCTTTGTGATAGCATAGAGGCACATCAGCAGATGAATAACAGAAATCAAGGCAAGTGATGGTCAAAAAGACCCCTGTTAAAATTGCAGTGGAAACCATGGGACCAGGAGGATGTGTAAACAAAATGATAAATTCTTATACTCAGGCATCACAGTGAGACTGCTGAAAGTCAGACAAAACTCTTGAAAGCAAGAAGAAAAACAAAATAAAAATGTAACTCATTGCAAACAAAGGAACCATTAAACATAAGTGGCTTGTCTAGGACAATGGAAGGCAACAGGAAGCTGAGGTGACATGCTCAGAGCAAATATAAGAGAAAGCAACCTGTCACATAAGACTTTCTGTCAGAAGTGAAGGGACACAGACATTCCAAGACAAACCAAAATGGAGAGGGTCATTGCAGGCAGGTCTGACTTATAAGAAATACTGAAGCAAGTTTTTCAGGCTGAAATGCCGTGGCATCAGTCAATAACTCAAACACATATGACAAAATGAAAGTGTACCCAAGCAAATTGAAAACACAGACTCACATAAATGCTTGTGTGCAAATCTTTACAGTACCATTGTTATTATAGTTTATTTATTTAAAAAAAACTTTTGATTATATTTATTTTTATTTTATGTGTATGAACCTGCATGTATGTAAGTGCACCCCTGTCATGCACTACCCAAGGAAGACAGAGAGGGCATCAAATTCCCTGGATCTGGAATTACAGACAGTTGTTAGCTGCCATGTGGGTGTTGGGATTTGAACCTGGGTATTCTGCAAGAACAGCCAGTGTTCTTAACCGCTGAGCCATCTCTCCAGTCCCTGTTCATTACAGTTTAAATAGAAACTATTGGCATGTCTACCAACTGAATGAATAGAAAAGTGAAATGATGGGGCTGGAGAGATGGCTCAGCAGTTAAGAACACTGCTTATTTTTGCAGAAGACCCAGGTTCGAAACCCAGCACCCACATGGCAGCTAACAACTGTCCATAACTCCAGTTCCAGGGGATCCAACAGCCTCTTCTGTCCTCCGCAGGCATTGCATGGGTAAACTTACCTACATGCAGGCAATATACACATACACATAAAATAAAAATAATAAATAACATTACAAAAGAAAAGTGAAATTAATATACAATGCAGTATTAGTCTACAATAAAAAGGAAAGGGGTCTTGATACCTATTACAACAAAGATGGGTCTTTAACTCATTAAGCTAATGAAAATCCTAGACACAAAAGGCCAGTACTGTGCCCTGCACATGCAAAACTATGAAGATAGAAAGGATTCATTTAGTTGTTGCCTGTCAGGAAGAGAAGAGTGTTTTAATGGACACAATGCTTATTTTTGATGCAATGGAAATATTCTAAAAGTAGAACGTGACGATTATATAACTGTACATACACTAAAATTCACTCAAGCTTATTTTATGTTATGTACATTATAACTCAATAAAGCAAAAACTTAAGTGTAGAAATGAAGATTTCCAACATGAGAGAAAGATATGCAACTAGAAAATCAAAGAAATTAGTGCAATTGAGTTATAAATCATGTATGAACTCATTAATTTTTTTAAAAAAAATCCTAGCATTGTCCATTAAAAATGGTCTAGAAACTATACCACATTGGTAACAAGTAACTCCTAACACCCACATTGTGGTCTTCACATTGCCCACTAAAAGAAGTCAGTAAATTCAGAGAAATGGCTGAATTCAGGCCTGGTGCAGGGGGAGATGGAAAGTGAAACGGAACCACCTTGAGCCAGAAGGAAAGTTCTGTGTGTAGAACATGATCTGATTTTCCATATGAATGTGGGAATATCTGGAGTTCCATAAGGGTGAAACTTAGATATGGTGTGTAAGGATGTACTACTTTACTATTTTTATTTTTACTTGTTTGCATTTGCTTTCTTTCTTTTTGCAATGTACAGGAACATTTGAAAAACAATTAATAAAGAAAGGCCATTAAAATGAAATAATAGGGAATGAGAGCAGAATTTCCAGCTGGAATGTGGTGGGGTCAGATCTGAGTGGGAGATATAGATTGTAGCTCTGATACAATTTAGTTGTATTTTCTCTGAATAAAGAATAGAGTCCCATCCTTAAGAGCAAAGGTTTGAAATCTAGTGGCAGGTGGGGCAGCGATGCACGTTGGCAGGGTTTATGGCAATAGAAAAAGAGAAATGCTGGAGAGGTTTCTTAGCCCGTTAGCTGTCTTCATCACCTCAGGGCCTTTGAAAACTCAGTGGATAAAACACTTCATTTATCTTTGTAATTTCTCTATAAATCAAAGGTTAAGTCAAAAATGTCTAAGAAGAAATAACCTTTTGCGGGGGGGGGGGTGTCTCCCCTATTGAAAACAAATCTCTTTTAGAAGAAACAACCAAACTGTGGAGAATATATTTGCCTCCCTAAAAGTAAAAATGTGAGGGCTGAGGAGATGGCTCAGTGCTTGGTCCACTGAGATCTTGAATTGTGGCAGCACACATCTGTGATCCCGGCCCTGGGTAGGCAGAGGCAAGTTGATCACTGGCACTCACTAACCACCCACTCTAGCTGAATCAGCAAGCTCCAGGTTCAGTGAAAGACCTTGTCTCAAAAAAATAGGATAGAGAGCATCTGACACTGATCTATGCCCTCCACATGCACATGCACACATGTGCATATATGCATACAAGTGCATACACACACAAACACAAAATAAAAATAAATCTTAATTTCAATGTTAATAGTCATCAAAAAGTGACTTTTCTATGAAGTTGAAAACTTGTTTCTTAAGCAGATCTGTCTGTGGTTGGAAACTAGCCTCAGTTCTGGTAGATAAACTGCTTTACTCATGCACAGTATTAGACATGGAAAAATGGTTGCCTTTCCACACTGCATAATACAAGTGGGTACAGAAACCAACTGTGTCATGTTTTAAAAATGCAGAATTAAAGAAATACAGCATGAAGGCCAATGTTAAATTGTCAAAGAGTATACACATGAAAGGTTAGATATAATGTCAAAAGTTCATAATTGTGATTACACAATGGATACTTGTGTTACTGAATTGCCTTGTTGGTAATTGTGACTTGAAGGAAACATTTACCCTACAGCTAAAAGTTTAACAAGA